AACCTGCAATACTTTCATGGGCCTAGAGGCTTTAATCTCCTGCATCCAAAAGGCCATATTGCTAGAGCCAAAGCTTCCTTCTCCTCTGGGGGCATTAGTGGCATCCTTTCCTATGTGATAATAGGGCAATAATAATAACTGGGCAATTCTCTGGTCCTTAAAAATTTGCTTGGTGGAAGAAGGAGGAGAGACCAGCACTTTGATCTCTCCCTGATAATCAGCGTCAACCACCCCAGGGATTGTAGTGATCCCCTGAAGGGAGATGGAGCTCCGTCCCAATATTAGTCCCACTACTCCAGGGGGCAGGGGCCCCTTTACACAGGTGAGTGAATAGTCATAGGAGGTGAATCAGGCGTTAGTATTGTGCTGGTGGTGGAATGGAGGTCCAGTCCTGTGCTTCCTGGGGTTGCTCTATAGAGCTCAGAGACTGACTGAACTGGCGAACGGATGGAGAGGGCGGAGGGATGTTGCCCCAATTAGTGTTGGGGCCTGGGGCTGGCCCCTCAATCCGTTTCCCTGGTCCTGAGATTTTTGGAGACTGGTTCCCAAATTTTGGGAAATTTGTGTGAAATTTGTGAAATTTAGATTTACAATCTTTGGCCCAATGAAAGCCCTTTTCACACTTAGGACATATAGTCCTGGGCCTGTTGTTATTGCTTATCACTTGAGGAATGGGTGTGGTTGGCAGAGAGGTATTTGCCTTTTTTGAAGGGCAGTCCCTACTGAAATGTCCTACTTGCCCACAAGAATAGCAATTAAACCTTGAGGAAGGTTTTTCGCTCTTAGTACCTCCTGACTGCCCTAAGGACCAGACATATTGAGGGTATGTTTCTCCCTTTAAAGCTGCTGCGATAGCCATGCCCTGGATAAAGGCAGGACTTACATCTGCACATTGTTTGACATACTCATTTAAGGTGCCGATTTTCTTATGGGTCGTAATAAAGACTGGCAGGTAGAAGAGGGATTTCAAATGCTAGTTGTTTAATGAGAATGTCCGCTGCCTCATCATTCGTTATCACTTTTCTAACAGCTTGTATGACTCTAGATACAAAATCCTCATAGCTTTCATCCGATCGTTGTTGGATTTCTCCTAAGGTAGAAGCCCTGCCTTTTGCAATTGGCAAAGCTCTCCATGCGTTAGAGGCACAATCAGTGACCTGCTGTAAGGTGGCTTTGTCAAGATACATTTGCGCTTGAGCAGTGTCAAAATCACCTCGCCTAGGAGTTTATTGAGGGTAATGTCTCTCCTATTCGTCCTTTTATTTATGGCCACTCTTTTTCTAGTGAGGTCATCATATTCCTCTTTCCATAGCAGATATTGGCCTCCTGACAGACAGGCTTTTGCGACCTGAATCCAGTCATAGGGTGTCATCCAGCGAGATACTAGGGCCTCTAGCAATGTAAGTGTGTAAGGCACAAGTGGCCCATATTCAGTACAGGCAGTTTTTAGTTCCTTAACAATCTTATAAGGAAGAGGTTCCCAGGAAGAGTCCTCATCAAATTCTCCCCCAATAGCAACGGGGAAGCAGCGAACAAAGTCTACATCTGCCTCTTTTTCCGCCTCTCTAACGGCGGCTCAGAGCCCCACTCCTTTTGAAAGTGGCATGGGAGGAAGCGGCCCAGATGGAGTGAAAGATCCTGTAGTCTGAACAGGGAAAGCCCAATTGTTTGATGTTAAATTTGAAACCTTTGTAGTGATGGAGTCGGGGACAGTGCCTGAGTTCACCTTATTATCATTTTCGGGGGTGCTGGGATTAAAGACTCCAGAAGTCTCTTTTGAGGTGTCTAACGCCCCCTTTATAATGGTCAATAGAGAAAGAATTTCGACCGGGATTTTTTGAGGACATTGTCTAATTTCGTCCCCAACTTTATTCCAGATATCTATATTAACAGTTCCTTCCTTGGGGAGCCAGGGGCACAGTTTTTGAACAAAACGTAAAAATCGAGCAATTTGTTGAGAGGATACCTTTGCCCCTTTTTTTGTAAGCACATTTCGTATCACATCTATAAAGAGTCTTTTCCTTAGACTCTTTATGGCCCATAACTTCTAAAAAACAGTTCTTTGCTTATCCACCAACTAACCCTACTTATCTTATGCAAGGGGGTCCGCGGCACCCTACAGTGGAATCCTCACCATCCCAACTAATGCAACGAGCACGACATAGTTTAAAGAGATTACCTTCAGGTCCGCTGTTCGGGCGCCACTTGTCGGAGGCCGGTTCCGGCATGTCCAGGGGTCTCTGAAGGATGGACGGTGTCGGCAAAAGAGAGTGAGAGAGCCCCGGAGATTCTTTCTGATCACCAGGCAGGCATCTCTGCTCTGACTGGGGCTCAACTTTAAAGTGTTTGGGGATGGCACAGAAGTGGCATTTGCCTTAGACAATGATTTCTGACAACAAACTTCTTTGATATGTAAGAATTTCCCAGAACAAGATTTGCATAACCTTTATCAATAGTGATTGAGGTAGGGGATTTAGATGCTTATCTTATGGGGAAGGAAGGCATCTTTAGCATACCTAGCATAAAATGTTTTTAGCATAAGAGGGTGAAGTTACTTCTCTGTGAGCAGGGGTCAAACAGGTCTTTCAGGAGATACCTTTGCTGTCATAATCACAAAAGAAGTTCCTCAGTAGGTTCCTTCACAGAGAGTAATCAGCATATACAAGGCCAGAAAATACTCCAGGCAGAAACAAATGGGAGGGGGTAGATATTTGCCCTTAACTCTAAATTAGGCTCTTTGTCTCAAGGCCAGACTCAAGCCCCTTTTGTTATGTTAAGTCTTGGATCTCTAAGGCCCTTAGGAAGACCCTTTTAAGGATCATCCACAATGTTTTTATCTGAAATCTCTTTGGAAAAGGCAGGGACAAGACTTTCCTTATGAGCAATCTGTTTGGGGAATGTCGGTCTGATCTAGAATATTGTGAGGCCTGGTCAATACCAGCAGCCTCATTTCCAACATGAGCCAGTAGTAGAAGAAGGAGATACTAGGTTTCATTTCTCATGGCAGGAGCTGTACAAACGCTACCATATCCTTGTTGTGACTGCCATCCAGAGAGGCTGATGGGGCTCCTGGTAATAAAACCCTTGGGGCACCTGGCTAGCTCATGAGTGACCCTTGATCATGGGGTTGTGAGTTTGAGCCCCTGTTGGGTGTGGAAATTACTTAACATTTTTAAAAAATATTTTATTTTTTATGTTTATTTTTGAGAGAGATTGAGAGTGCAAGTGGAAGAGAGACAGAAAGAGGATCTGAAGTAGGGTCCGTGCTGTGAGCACAGAGCCCAACATGGGGCTTGAACTCCTGACCCATGAGATCATGACCTGAGCTGAAATCAAGTGTTGTCAGGCACTTAAAGATAAAAACTTAAAAATCAATACATAAAAAGCAAATTAATTAATTAATTAAAGAGAAAACCTTTTTCAGATCAGGAGCAGACCCCTTTAGATTCAACCAGGCTAGACCGTGTTGACCACCAACAGAGAACCCCACCTGTGCCTCCATTCTGTCACTCATGCGGCAATGGTTTCAGGAGGCGAATAATCTTTTATTATGGAATTAAACTTTATTTGAACCACAACCATATAAATATCTGCACACGACATTATACACTGTAGAAGTGTGTCAGTCACCCTCCAGCCATCCCTCATCCCCCATCCATGCTTCCCAACGTCTAAGTGTGGAGGCTTTAGAAACTTCCCAGGAGGCAGTACTTCATACAAAGCACAGTCACCTAAAAAGATGACTTTAATGTCTTTTTAAAAATGTTTAACTTTTTTTAAACATTGCGCATTTTTGAGAGAGATAGAGTGTGAGTGGGGAGGGGCAGAGGGAGAAGGAGACACAGAATCCAAAGCAGGCTCTGGGCTCTGTGCAGCACAGAGCCCGACACAGGGCTCGAACCCACGAGTGGTGAGATCTGACCTGAGCTGAAGTTGGACGATTAACCAAGTGAGCCACCCAGGTGCCCCTTATTTATTTATTTTGAGAGTGACCAAGGGGCAGAGAGAGGAGGAAAGAGAATCCTAAGCAGGCTCCACGCTGTCAGCACAAAGCCTTACTTGGGGTTCTAACTCACCAACCATGGGATCATGAGCTGAGCCAAAACCAAGAGTCAGATGTTTAACCAATTGAGTCACCCAGGTACCCCTAACATCTTGCACTCAAGCCTAAACTCAGTTGTTACTAATTCCTCAGCCTATTAGGTTAATATTGAAACAAGATTTAAAAATATAGCCTCCTTGAAACACATTTTCTCAAAAGAAAAGAAAATTGCTAGAAGGCAATTTAGTCGTTTGTGAGTTCTGGGAAAAAATGAGGATCGTTCTTTACATTACTTAGGGTTTTCATCTTCATATAAATGTGTGGTCTAGAGTCGTTCAATTCCATGCTAAAATTGCAAACATGGGCAAACATAAGCCTCTAATTCTACTCTGAATTAGAGTGCACTGAAATCATGCAGGCATGGGGGGGTGGCAGGAAAGAAAAGAACTATGGTCACATGTACTGAAGGGTAGCTTTCTCATATAGACCTACATTACATTGACATTTTTTTTTCCTGTAAATCTTCTAAATGTACATGATCAATTTCTGTCAATTGTCCAACACCTAGTAAGTGCCTGGCAGTGTTCCAACATTTCTGGATTGGTTTCAGAAACAGAGACTGGTAACCGTATCTACAAGTGGCTAATCTATTTTGATGTGAGCTTAATTAATGCTGCATATGAAACTCCAAATGTTACGATCCAGGAGTTTTAAATTTTTAATTATTAGACTAACTTAGTTAACTTATTCTAAGATGAAATTTGAATTTAATTTAATGTGAGTATTACATTCTTTTACAATAAATGCAATTTTCAACAGAAAGGGGTTTTATAAAACCACTCTATTATGATTTTTAGCACATAGACGAGAACTATTTTAAAAATGTCACAAATAATATATGACTTTAACATTAAAACTTGAACTACCCAAACTTGTAGGGAAGGATCGGGCTACACAGTTATGACATCTGGTCGTGAAATCTAAGCTGCTGTTTGATGAAGTTGGAGATTAGGGGCTGATGCTGTTCTTGGTACTCTGATAGAACACCATGGGGCAAGCTGATCTGGTCACACTTAAGTCTGTCAAGACCTGTCATACAGACCATAGTAGCTAGAAGAGCAGATAGCATCCTTACTGAACAAATGGGTTTATTTTTTATTCAGAAACATCAGACAAACACCCCTATCTCCCTACACATGTACTTTGTGTTATTTTCTGTTATATAGATGCAACTCACTGAACCTTCTAGCCTTCCATATAATTCATAGTTCTGTCGACTCCACCAAATACCCTATCTAAAAGTACTCTCCTTTTTCCTTTCTAATGTTCTGGAAAGCTTTGTGTTCAGGAGAAGAACAAGGGGCTATCTTTGCCATCTTAGACACACAAAGCTGCAGCTTTCTACCCTGTTGCCTGTTTTTAGAGAAGGATCTTCTTACATGAGGGTATACGTGAAGAGCTAGCCATTACTCCAAAGATGACATTTCACTCTAGGGTGCAATGTCTAGGTTTGCCTGCTGCAGCCCTTAGTGAAGAACAGAGTAAATACAGAAGAGGTATGAACACAGACCTTGGGAAACACCAATAAAAGTGATTACTGATCCTTATGAAATTTGAGAAGGAAAATATGAAGTAAAATGTATAAATCTAAGAACAGGCTCTGTGAAAGAGTAAACTTATTAAAATTTAGTTTCTGAAGAATATGAATAAAATCTTAAGATAGACATGAAACTAAGGGAGAAGAACAAATAAATATCTTTAAAAAAAAAAAAACGAATCTCAGTTTTGAAAAGTCACCATGAAGGTAGGGTCTTTGGTTTTATCAGTCAAGAAGAATAAGAGAAAAATGGGTCCCCTACAAATTCTTTATTGTCAATTTCACATGAAATCTTTGATTTCAAGGAATGGGGTTACACACATTGAAATCAGTGTTACCTACTTAGAGTAGATAGCAGTGTAGTGGTTTTTATCTTCATCTGCATCATTTTATTTTATTTTTAAAGTAAGCTCTACATCTAATGTTGGGCTCCAACTCGACGACCCCAAGATCAAGAGTCATATGTTCACTGACTAAGCCAGCCAGGTGGCCCTCATCTGCATCATTTTAAGTTATTATTTCATTTCATTGTACATGGGATTAGATGCGCCTACATTAACGAACTTGGAAGGCATGGAGGTAAAGTTGAATGTGAATGTAATACTCTTTTGACCTCTCCACTATTTCAGACTTCTTAATAAGATCTGGATTTGGGAAGGAGAGATGGACTATAGTGATAATAGATGCTATCTTTTTTGTTTGGTTTAGTCCTTGTTATATGCTGGGTACTTATGATATCATTTAATCCTTATGGCTATACCATGAGCTAGCTATTATTTTTATCCTCTTTTGACAGATGATGAAATGAGGGCTTAAGGAGGTCAAACAAATGTCCCAGAATGACACAGTTAGTAAATAACCAGTCAATTCCCAGCCTCCTAAAATGCTGAGAAGAGTTCTCTGCCTTTCCATCCACTGCTCCCCTGGGAAGGCACATGATGAACCATTACACAGACCTGCCCTGACCTCCTGGTCAAACTGACCCTCCTGTTCAGTGAAGTGAAAAGCAATGAAAATATTCAACTTGAGCTGAGTCAAATATTTTATCACCTAGGACCTACCCTACTTATTCAAAACTCACTCGCTTGTAACGCAACTTGGATGAACAGGTAAATAAGCAAAGGGAAGGGCTAGAAACTTCCCCAGCTTTTCAAATTAATGATCAACAGGTCTGTGAAGCCTGACATGGGCTGGCAGTAACAGGGAGAAGTTGAAAGTCCTCTAATCCTTCACTTGGCAAAAGAATAAATGAAACTCATGCTCTGAACTTTTCAGAGTGGGAGCTGACTTTACTAAATGTCTTTTCTGGTGATTTCAAGGGGAGTGCCAAAGATGGAAAAGAACAGGTCATAGCAATCCCGGTGGTGTTTTCTTGACCCTGGAGGACCCATTAACAAGCAGCATATAATAATCTTGTCACCTAAAATTACTATTTCCATGAGCCATTAAAAGGGACTAATTGCCCAAAACAATTTGTCAAAATTAAGCCTGACAGCTTTGCTACCATAATCCTCAGATTGGGCATGGAGGGGGGCTCCTGTGGAGAGATATTTAGTGACCTAGCTGTCACCAAGGAGGTTGTCAGCTAACTGACCTTAGACTGCAATGTGATGGAGCACACCAACATGAACACAGAGCTCAATGCTGCCCCAGGGACTCCCAGCAGCTCTCTGTTCTTTCATTTATGGTCCCTTTGAGCAACTGATGAAAGCAATTGGAACCTCTTTTCACAAAAATACACGTATGCTTATAAACACAAAATATTCACGTATAATTTCAGGGGGTTAGTGTCCCTAAATTCCACCATGAATCCTTAGAAATCCACAGATCCCCATGGATGCCCAATTTAGCCCCACCTCTCTGAGTCAGAATGGACTTCCAGGAAGGTTTTCATATAAACTATAGGCAAAGGCAGCAAGGTGAGGCACAAATCCTCCCATGCACTGCGGAACTCAAACAGGGCTGAGCCTTAGAAAATGGCAAAGTAGGGAAGGTTAGCTTTGGAGTTTCCAGTGTGGCCCTTATGACTTCTCCTCTTCCACTTATCCCCAGCCTTTATCATGGCCCCCTTTACTCCTCAATGACTGAGTTTATTTATTTCATGTATGCCTGATATAGAAAGCATAGGAATCTCAGCAATGTGGAGCCTTTGCACTTCCTCTGTTTGCCCTGAAAAATCAATCTCAGGCTATTGGCTGCTAGTCAAATCAAGTGAAGAAAATTTATATTCAAAGAGGAAGATCAAAGATAAGGGTCATAAGAATAACTTATTCTTCTAGATTGATGTTTCTTCAAATGTGCCCCACTGGCCACCTGCATCAGAACCAGACCTGGTTAAAAATGCAGATTCTTAGGCTCTATCTTGGACTGAGTGATTGAGGAATGAGAATGAGAGAGGACAGTGAATCCACATTAGAAAAAAAAAACCTAGCAGCAAGTTTTCACATTAATATTTGAGAACAATTGCTTTTTAAACTTTTCTAAAAAGTTTATTTTGAGAGAGAGGGAGCATGAGCAGGGGTGGAGCAGAGAGGGAGAGAGAGAATCCCAAGCACACCTCATGTACTCAGTGCAGAGCCCAATGTGGGACTCGATCTCATGAGCTGGGAGATAGTGACCTGAGCTAAAATCAAGAGTCAGATACTCAACTGACTGAGCCACCCAGGCACCCCTTAGAACAATTGTTTTAAAGACTTTAAAGTGTATCCTGAATCAAATCGAGTTACAACAATATAACTGAGCCCCAGTGCTTTAGGTTCCCAAAGAAATGCCAATTCAGATAGAACCAAGATTTAGCATGAACTCTTTCAAGAATTGGCCCATGTCTTTTATAAACGTGTTAGTGAAGACACTGCCTATTATAATATAGCTGACAGTTTTACTCAAGTTTAATGTTTGGACAAAGTTTTTATGATAAACTTCAAATGCTAACTCAAAGTGTTTCCATTTTCAACTTGACCTCTAGGAAACTGAGAACCAAATCTAAGTATTTAGACTTAGTATTGCACTCCCAAATGGCCTCTTTCATATTGAAAACTCCCTATCCACTCCCTTAAATACATGCCCCTATTCACTTTACCTTTGTTTAAATTGTATTAAACATTCATCCTTTATTGAAAGCTGCTGCTAATGTCTATTCAAAAAAATAGAGAATACAAGTAATCTGTCAATAGATAAATATGTTACTCTTTTACACTTTATGAAATAGTGGAGGGAGTAGGGATCAGGAGATGGGAAATCTCAGTTCTAGTCCATCTGTCTTTCTTTGTCTAGTTGGCTTTCCTTAAGCAGGTTGCCTCCTTTCACTCTCTGAGATAGGGGCAGGTTGGATCTCAGAGGCCTCTCCCAAGTCCACACACTCAACTCACGTGCCTCCCTTCCTCTTGTTGCTGTGAGGACCATGCTGTCCTCTCCAGGAAGCCCAGCTGCAGCCGTGGGTTTTTGATTGTCTGATGGATACTGGACCTCCAACCAGAGACATGTCAGGATGAGCAAGGATGGAGCCTGGTGTGCTGGGGGTGGTGGTGGGGATTCCAGAAGGGGCACCCAGGATGCCTCACTGGGTCACAGCGAGGGAGGAGTGGTCATAAACAATGCGAACCATACATGGGATTGAGTCAGTGGTCCTAAATGGTCCTCTACTATGTGAGTGTGTTGGTATGGGGGGAGGAAGAGTTGGATAGAGAGAGTAGGGGAGGAGAACTAGAATAAATCAAATAAAACAATAGAGGCTCACCTTGATTAAAACTATATAAAAACTGGGGTGCCTCGGTGGCTCAGTTGAGCGTCCGACTTTGGCTTAGGTCATAATCTCATGGTTCTTGAGTTGGAGCCCTACTTCTGGCTGTCTGCTGTCAGCACAGAGCCCGCTTGGATCCTCTGTCCCCCCTCTCTGTCCCTCCCCTGCTCATGCTCTCTGTTTCAAAAATAAACATCTATATCTATCTCTCTCTGTCCCTCTTATCTCTCTCTCTCTCTCTCTCTCTCTCTAATCTAACAAAGTAAGAAGAAAAATTTTTTTTAAATCTTGTTTTTGTAAAAGTAAATGAATTACCTAACATTTATGCCTGATTTCCCAGGTAAACGGACTGATTTTCATGGCAAAATAATGGATATGCAGACAACTGAATAAGTGTCAAATTAATGCTTTGATTCCAACACTCACCACCTCACCATGTGCTGAGCCCTCAGGGCTTGCTTGCAGAAGGGGCACAGCTATCTGCTCACAACTTTTGACATAGAAACAAGTGCATTGTTGTTGTCACTGTTGCGAACAGACTCTAAGAACTATGCGTACCCATGGGAAGCTGGTGGGACGAAGCAGCAGAACATGCTACACAGGGGCTTCGGATCAGAGCTGGGTTCAAATCCTCACTCGGCTGCTAATTCAACCGGGAGAATTTGGGAAAGTTATCGAAACTCTCTGAGCCACAGTTTTTCCCCTGTGAGAGCAAAGAGAGCTGCAATTGGCTGCCTCCAGTTCTTCTGCAGTAATATTTCAAAACCCTGATTTGTCTCCATTTTAGAGTTAAGAAATGCTCCAGCTCCACACTGACTATAATCTTTAATCCTTGTTGTAATATCTTCTTTGCTTTATCAGTAATCACTGTGAAGTTCCTAGAGCCCACTATCCGTCATTGCTGGGACCAGCAGAAGAATATAAAATTGAGTTAAAATCAAGATTCTACTCCCTTTTATTGAACTGTAATAAAGTAATATTATAAAGACTGACTATATCCCCAAAGTTGTCAGTATCCGTCAAACGAAATAACACTGGATTCTTCCTTTATCCTAAAGAACAAAACCACTGTGAGTGCTGCAAACAGCTAAAGACAAAGAAGAGGATTTAAGCAGAAATTAATCTTAGATAAATATTAGGTTTCACATATTGCCATGCAAGCAAGCATGTGTCAAAAGGCGGCACTGTCTTTTAAAAATGGATACAAATTGAACATACTTATCACAAGTTCACAGTGCAAAAGGATTATCATCTTTAATCAGAATGTTAGGGGTTTAATTAAAGTAGATTTTGCTTTAAGGGAGGGACACATGTATGCATATTACAAAATCATGGCTGAATTCATTTATGTAACACTGTACAGTGGATTTACATTTATTCTGAAGGTTTAGCCTTTCAGTGGAGAATAATTCTGTGAGGGACATTATTTCCCTTCACCTTAATCTTTGTGAACACAACGCTGGATTTCCACTGTTCTTCTTCAGGACGAGATCAGGGTAACAACAGTGACTTATGGGTGTCTGTGGCCACCTTTCAAGCAGGTTGTACACTTATCAGACATCAAAGGATCCCGGGGCTAGAGATACAGCAGAGGTATTGTATAAACCTTATGGCAAAGGAAGGGTTAACTCTAAGGCTTTGCCTCTTCCTATTTCGACAGTTTGGAGGTACTCTAAGGTCCTTTAGGTAATTCTCCCAAGTCATTAATGTGGCCAGGGCCAGATGGATTTGCCATAGTCATTTTTCACGGCAAATGAGAGTTAAGGGTCATTCCTTTCACTCATGTGTTCATTCATTTAGCAAATACTTATTCAATGTCCATAAGGTATTCTAAGTGCTGGGGATATAGCAAGAAAATGACAAACAAGTTCCCTGTTCTCATGGTGCTTATATTTCTAGTGGAGAAAGATGTTTAGTACATAACTTCATGCATTAATATATGTACAATAATATACAAGTTAATATGTAAAGAAACCAGAAGAACAATGGGTGAGTGAGTTGAAGTCGTCCTACAGACAAGGCTTCCTGATGAAGTGAGATTTGTGATGAGATAGGATATTAATCATCAAGATAAGAAGTGGTAATCCATGTGGACCCAAGACCTCCTTGTCCCAGGGGGGTGCAGAAAGATCCATTTTGCATCAGTTCAAACTCAGCAAGTGACTCCTTGGAATTAGAATGATGGCTTCTAGAAGACCCTTGTTTAAACAAAAAGTTAATTATAAGCTGAAGCCATTGGCCGTCATGATCTTAGTATGAAGTCAGATTAGTTATTCAGTCATCTGGTAATATTAAAAGGACAGAAAAGACCGTTAGAGAAGGTGATCTAAGGGGGACAGGGTGGCATTGGCCATTACTAACAGTGGGAGCAGAATGGTGGGGGAGGGGGAATAGGCTTGGGAAGCCACCCACAGCCTGTGGGCCCTGCGCTCTTAGTGCCAGGTGAAATACATTTTCCCTTGTCATTTAACACTCCTATATTCTCCCTACCTTCCTCCGTATTAAAGCAGCTGCTTGTGAAAGCTCTCTCAGCCTTCCCCAAAGCAAGTTTTCCTAGCTCACATGGAGTTTCTCAGAGCTTCACTGCTGTGGGGGAAGGATGTTATGAAGCAGTGATGACAGGTAGGAACATGGTAGCATTGTACGCATGGAGTTGGGTCTGGGTCCCGGTGGTTGATCTTCCAGGAGGGCCTGTACGAGGAATTCACCTTTGAAAACAGTGGTGTGTGAGGGAGATAAGAGTCCCCATCACATGAAGAGGTTCAGACAGAAATACTCCCAGGAACTACAGGATTAGAGTTACAGGTACAACCGTTAGCATGAATGTTGGCAGTCTGAAAGAGGTCTGCTCAGTGAAAGAGCTGCGGGAGTGGCTTGGAAGAGAGCTGCTGGCAGGCTTAACTTGGCTACCAACAGCCCTAGCAGTTGCAGAAAAAGGAAGATGCTGCAGGGCATCAGGAACTACAGGAAGTAAGAGGAGAGAGTCCAGGAGGGTGCCTGCAAGTGGCAGAGAGAGCAAGGTCACAAGGAATTGCAGCAAGGACAGAAAGATCCTCGGAACAGAATCATTTCTCTGAGGGTTTGGCAACATCCTTAAAGAGAGAAAGACCAGGGTCCAGGGTTCACAAGCTGAGAACTCAACCTGGTTCCCAACTGACACCTCTTAGGGAAGAACTGAAGGTCATCACCAAATTTACATCAGGGCAGTAGTTTGTCAGAAGGCATTTTTTTCCCTCTAAATTAACTGGATACCAAATTCTCCATTTGCATACTGTATGAGGCCATGGCTTAGGTGACCACTTGTTGTTTCTATAATAAAGAAATGTGAGAATGCATTTCTTGGAGCAGAAATGTCTAAATCCAAGTGTTCCCATAGGCTGTCTGCTGATTGGACTGTTGCTCAGGTCAAGGTCAAGGTGCCACCACCTGTGGTTCTCACTCTTATTAAGCGTGGGGAGAAAAGCAGATGGTATTGTTTCTCTGAAAGGGGGATATTAATGATGTCCTTTGAAAGAGGATAAGGATTCACTTGCATTCTTCACCCATATATTACAAGGATCTGCAAGTACATGTATTCTGAGAGATGGAGGTGGTTAAGCATAGTGGTTCTACAACTAATCTCTTATGAACTACAACTTCTTTCTAAAATGTATTTTGGAAATGTTACCACATATATTTTGTTTGTAGTTTTGTATATATGCATATATTTTTTATAAAATTTTTTGCTGTATGTTTATTTTAGAGAGAGAGAGCGGGGGGGAGGAACAGGGAGAGGAAGACACAATCTGAAGGGGGATCCAGTCTCTGAGCTATTAGCATAGAGCCAATGCAGGGCTCGAACCCACTAACCGCTAAATCAGGACCTGAGCTGAAGTCTGATGCTCAACCTATTGAGCCACACAGGCGTCCCTGTAGTTTTGTATATTAAAGTTGACTGATTATAAAGACAAATGTTGGAATTAAAATTCCACCTGTTAGTAAAAGACACATTAACATGCTATAATTCTTTATTTCTTCTTTGAAGCTTTCTTCTCTGGATTCCAGGACACCAGTCTCCCCAGGTGTGCTGCCAATTCCACTGGCCTCACCAGATTTGAGATAATTTAAGTATCAAAGACAGTAATGACAGAAACCATATATAACACATCGATCTGAACAAGATCCACAAAACAATAACTTCCCTCCATGACCAAAAAAGAGAGAGAAAGAGAAAGAATGTGAGGAAGAAAACTTAAAGTAGAATGCCAGCTATTAAATGTGGAGGGAACAATAGAATTAAAAAATCACTATTTTGCAACCCATGCTAAAGTCACTGGTAAAAGACAATTGGGTTACAAGGTGTTCATGCAGTGCCAAATAGTCATCACAGAGGTTGCTTGTTCCACACAAAGAGACAACTTTGACTTTTCAATGGAAAGTGTTGGAAGTTATCCTTTGAACCAAGTGTTCCAGCTTGAAATTATTAATAGCGGGACATCTTCACATCACATCTCCCTGAGGTGGTACAGTGTGAAGCTTACATTACCATAAAATGTTCTTGCCATAAGGCTGAATCTAGTGTGGCCACCAGACTTCCCTTCCACTTACAGGAAGTCTGCAGTAGAGATGAACAAATGAACCTCCATGATGAAACACACTGACGAATCTAGAACCTGGTATATTCAACAAGATAACAGCCTGGCTGCATTAAAAAAAATCCATTGTCATAGGAAAAAAAGAAAAGTAGGGAGAACTATACAGAGTTATAACAATAAAGTAATATAATATATGAAGTTAGCTTTATAATGAGTAAAAAAATTTATAAAAGATTTTAGGACAATTAGGGAAACTTAAATATGGAATGGATATTAAGTGATATTATGAAGCTGCTTTTACTTTCCTTAGGGTTTTTTTTTTTTTTTTCTGATAATGGTATTTCGGTCATTAGGAGAATATCTCTATTCTTAGGAAATGATGCTGAGGTATAAGAGTTAATTGGCATGATGTCTGCAATTCATTTACAAGTGAATTGGGAAAAAGCAAATAGATGTGTGTATACATATATTTACACACATATATATATACATAGATATACATATATGTGTATATATATATTTAGAGAGCATGCATAAATGTGGCAAAATATTAAAAATTGTTCGATCTTTGTAAAGTGTAGATAGGTATTATGCCATTTTTTCAATTTTTCTGAACTATTAAACGTTTTCAAAATAAAAAGTTCGGAAAAGCAAAAATGCAGGTAAATTAATTTTAAAAACCTCCACTGATGCTTTGTCCTTTAATGAACTGTTTTAGGAATATTTTATTTGTATTGTGTCTTGATAAATTGTGACAGTAAATAGTAGCTACTATCAAGATCAAGAAAATGGAACTTGCTGTCAAGTCCTGACTACATAGCCTTCGTGACCTTGGGCAACTCCTTTTTGACTCTTGAGGCTTGGTTTCCTCACTTGCATAATGAGAACTATGTTCTGCTCTCTCACAAGACATTATTATGATCATATTACAAACATTATAAGACCTGCATTCAACCCTAAGTAACATATAGTTGGATTCCTTTTTCTTCTCCTGCCAAGTGAAAATAACTTCATGAAAAAGGAGAATTGGACCCAAGGCTTTCATGAATAGCTTACCTTTTAGATCACAAATTCTACATGGAGCCGAGGACACTGCAGATTCCGTTTCAGTGTTCCTGATGCCGGCTTTTTATGCCCTCTTCAAGCAGTCTAACTTTTCTTCTCTGGAAAAGGACCACAGCATTCTATCCCAGACATTGGCCCAAAAGGAATGGAGAACACTTGGCAGCTTGATGTCCTACCATGATGGCAGCAGCATTGCTAAAGGGCTGACTGGGGACTCCAGTGCTCTCTGGCTGGCTCTCCCACTTGGGTCTGCACTCCTGGGGGAAAACCCAGCCATCTGAACACCCTTTCAGGGGACTCGGAGCAAGGCTGTGCCTGGCTCAAGAGTCTCAGGTGGAGAGGAGTCTCCATGGTGCCGAGGGCCCTGGCTCTGGAACAAGTAACCGCTGAGTGCCATGGCAGCCAGCACTGGGCCCAGGGACAGCGTGACCTGGAGGCTTGCTAGGAGGTCTGCCTTTGAGGAAAGTCTCAGGTTGCTTCCGTGACTGGGGAATGGCTCAGGGACGGGTGCTGAAGGAAAAGCAGCAGCTTCAAGCCTCAGTGATGCTCTTGAAGCTGCTCAAGGATCAGGATGGTGGTTTGGACCTTGCAGTTCTCTGTCTCCGTTATGACCATGGAGCTACAGACAGTGGACTTGTCCACCTTCCTCCTTGTCATGCATGTCTCACGCTGCACGCCACCCTTTTTCCCTTCTAGGCTGCTTTCAGTGTTCATTTATCACTTAATTTCACCTGTGTCAACTAGTGAAGCCAGAAGGAAGGGGGGCGAGGGGGGAGCCTGAAGCTATCTTGCCGCCTCCACTGTGCGTACCCTGCTCCAAGTTGAAGGGCGAGGATAGAAGCGGGGAGGCCAATACACTCTGTCACCATCTGTCATTTGCACAGTCCCCATTTCTGTTCTCTTTCTGCTCTTTTTCTCCCTTTCCTCTAGTTTATACACTACTTGTCTGCTTTATACTGTCTGTTCCTCCTTGCTCCCTCCTCCTCGGTGCTGCCTGCCAACACCTCTAATACGGTGTTATTTAAGCCAATTCAAACTCTGAAGTCCCAGAAGCTGAGCAGGTAACATCAGTGAGGTCTGAAGGGAGAAGCCTTGCACTTGCCTCACCTTCAGCAAGTGCAGCCTGATACGGGCAGGGGCTTTCCAGGGCTGCCATGAATATATTATTTTATATTTTTTATGTTATGTTATCTCAAGAAGCCAAAAATCTGGACTTTCATGTAAAACCTCCAGAAATTTTCAATGTTGGCAAAATAATTCACGTTTTAAAAAATACTGTGCAGGCCAAAGAAAACATCAACTCCAACCGGCTGCCATTTGCAAACTGAGTTAAACCTAATGATGACCCTCCCTGTGAAGTGGCAAGTGACCTATGACAGAGTCTTAACCCTATCAGACCCAACATGCCTACTATTTTATAACACATAGGTACTGACACTATTTTTACTAACCTCAAGTAACATTTATACAAACTATAACCTGTCTTCATATAAAATTTTAAACAATTTTTTTAATGTGTATTTTTTGAAAGAGAGGGTATAAAAAGGGGAGGGCAGAGAGAGAGGGAGACACAGAATCTGAAGCAAGCTCCAGCCTCTCAGCTGTCCGCACAGAGCCTGACGTGGGGCTCGAACTCATGAACCATGAGATCATGACCTGAGCCGAAGTCAGATGCTTAACCACCAAGGTGTCCCTCCATACATAATTTTTAAAAATATTTTGAGAGGGGGAAGAACAAAGAGAGGGAGAGAGAGAATCCCAAGCAGGTTCCATGCTATCCACACAGAGCCTGACACAGGGCTCAAACCCACAAACTGGGAGATCATGACCTGAGGTGGAATCAAGACTCAGATGCTCAACCAATTGAGCCATGTAGGAGCCCCTATAATTTTTTATATTCAGTAGAATACCCTAAGTTTGATCCAAGGGACAAGAAAAGAAACCTAGTTTAAAATGAATACAGGGGCGCCTGGGGGGCTTAGTCGGTTAAGCAACCGACTTTCGCTTAGGTCATGATCTCGCGGTTCGTGGGTTCGAGCCCCGCGTCGGGCTCTGTGCTGACTGCCAGCTCAGAGCCTGGAGCCTATTTCAGAGTCAATGTCTCCCTCTCTCTCTGACCCTCCCCTGCTCACGCTGTCTCTCTCTCCTAGAAATAAATAAAAACCATTTTTTAAAAAAATAAAGAAAATGAATACATCGTTTGAACTTACGGGAACACAACTACACCTCAAGATTTCTAGAAGGCCCTTCAAGGAATGGTAACAGTCCTGGTTAGATTCTTTCTTCTGGGATGAGCAGAGTCTGCCCACGACACTGCTTTCTCCTGGCCCCTTAACCCATGGAGCAAGAGCTACTACTTGGCAATCACCTTCAATTTGTCCGAAAGTTGATTTGGGGACCCTTCATGGTTGAGAGAGAAAAGAACCACTCTGAGAGCACCCATCCCTTTAGGATTTCCTCTCCCAAATATTTCTCCCTGTTTCCTGGTCCTCACTCTGCCCTGGGTACCAGATCCTTTCTGAGGTATAGGTCAAGGTACCTCAAAATGGCAGAAGCTATGGAATTCAGCATATTCCCTTTTCCCCAGAGTCACCAGTGTAAATTAAAGGCATAAACAGAGGTACAATTTTGCTAACATCACTAATTGCATTTTAGTATTTGATTTGCTCTTGGAGGATTAAACCCACTCTCAATATAAATTCATTATGGATGTTTCTCTGCTGTTTATTATGTCCTTACGTTCCCATGCTCTAGTAAGTTAAAAAAGACTGTTTCCGTTCCTGTTTTTAATCCCCAACTATTTAATTTTCTAAAGCAGAGTTTTTAATATAAATGATGGCTTTGAATAACAAAGAGTTCCTGAGAAGTTTCTGTTGCTTTCCCAGTTTATAACTTCTCTCTTTATAAAAATTGTAGGTACACATTGCGTGTCCAACGAAGATTGGGAAGTGGGAAGTCCCTTTACCATAGGTGAGGGGCTTCTCAGCCAGGTCTTTGTCAAGTACGGCACTTCAGGTAGCAATATTGTCCAAGATTACCTATTCAAGCCAGGGTTTAAGGAAAGAGTCTGTGCACACATCTGCTATTACAACAGACCCGGTGCAGTATCACAACGTGGGATTAAAAGAGTGGTTACAGAAGAACGTCACTGAGAATTTACTTTTGACATGTAGTATGTAATCTATTCTGCCAACACTAATTAATGCAGGCTGCTGATGATTCTCCCTATTTTCATCTTTTAAATTATTTTCTTTTCCAAATGCAATTAAATAATAACATTCAGAACAGGCATTTACATTTGCTGTCTTTCCAGATTCACATTTACAGTGTGATCAGGTTTAGATTTCAAGACAAACATGACTCTTGGACATGCAAATTAGTACTGGCCTTCAGGCTCAAATTTGAGTAAATTAGGTCAGGAATAAACTAAATGAGCCTGCCAGCAAGTAGCTTTCATGAAGTGATGTGACTACTTGATATTTAATCTTCTCTGCAACTCCTTGATTACTATAATTTCTTTGCATCTCTATTCTCTCTTCCTTCTGATTCTTGTCACATCCATTCCCTCCCCACCCCCCATCCCATGTAAGTTAGGCCTCTTGGCTGCCTTCCATTGCTGCAAACTCTGGCTTGCTTATGGGACTCAGAAACTCAAGTCTCAGAAATTTGAGAAACCATTTTCTTCCAACTCGTTCTCCCTGCCTGGAATTCCCCCGTGTCCCACACTCTTTCATCAGACTACATGCAACTCATTCTCTAGGTGTGAATCCATGGAGGGAGGAACGTCTGAAAAAACATACCTGAATCCATGGAGGGGGGAAGAATAAAAGGCAACACAGGTTACATTAAATTTCCTCAGCCCAGCTTTTGATCTAGTCTCGGATCCATTCAGATTTCTGTTGAGAGCCTGGATAAGGGGATATATATTGATAGTACCCTAGATTCTCTGTGTCTCAATATTTGTTACATTTAGTATTACTCCTTGTGTGTCTATTGCCTGGATAACATATGAACTCTATAAAGGCAGGAGCAATGTCTGTTCACTGTTGTCCCTGTAAGCCTAGCATTATCCCTATTACATTATAGGTACTGAATAAACACAGGTTGAATGAGTGAATGCTTTCACAGAGATGCTGTAAAGCAGAAATCTGTAAACTACAATTCATGGGCCAAATTCAACCTGTCTTTATAAAGTTTTATCGAAACACAGCCACATTCATTCACTTACATATTATCTATAGTTGCTTACACACCACAATGGCAGAGTTGAGAAGCTGCAACAGAAATCCTAAGGTTTGCAAAGCCTAAAATATTTATTATTTGGCCCTTTACAGAAGAAGTTTACTGACCTGTGCCACAGAGTATTAGCCATATCTTTCTGAGTTCTTATAAATTCTAATACTAATCAATATGCAGTTCATTTAGAAGGTCCAGGTAGAGACCCAAGGTGGGCTCTGATGAAAAAGCCTTGATGGGTTAGATACTTTTAAAATAAGTCAAACATGTAGCTTCTTGGATTATTCACAATGTCCTAATTGCAGGAAGGAGACTGAGAATGAAGTTGAAAATGTGGGCATCAAATCTGCTATTATTCACAGGCCATCCTAATATTCAGAGATGTTGGAACATTAATATTCTGGTTAAAGTCTCTCAAAGGTCGATGTATTATTTAATCAGGTATTTCATCCTCATTAAGATTTATTGGCTCATCTAAAGAGTGGGAACATCAGCAGAGGAATGAGCTTTACTTCCTTCATCTCTGAATGCAATGCTGCTTAAAAGAAAACATTTACATCCTAGCAATAAGCTAAGAGTTCTTAATGAGGACAAAACTTCAACATGAAGGGATCTACAATAGTGCAGTGGTTTTATTCCCACCATTCGCTGACCTTTGCTCTGATACTGGTATAGCCGTAGGCTGGATGTATCGTGTTGGCATAAAACAAAAGACCTAGATTTCATGACCATGAGCTGGATAGTCAGCAGAGATAGTCCAGTCTGTGTATTGGACACTTGTCCATAGCCAGTAGCAGCCACGGCAGCAAGGATGGTATGTTGCATTGGCATGGGCTATGCAGGCAGAGCCTTGTATCCCACAACCCCAACTTAATAACAATGTTACCCATTTCATTACCAAATGCACTGTTACCTACTCCTTATTTGGGGTAACAATGGATAAACAACAATCTAGAAGGATGTTGGATTTAACAATGATTGCTAAGGGACACCTGGGTGGCTCAGTTGGTTGAGCATCTGACTTTGGCTCAGGTCATGATCTCACAGTTCATGGATTAGAGCCCTGCATTGGGCTCTGTGCTGACAGCTAGCTCAGAGCCTGGAGCCTCCTTCAGATTCTGTGTGTGTGTCTCTCTCTGACCTTCCCCTGCGCACACTGTCTCTCTTTCTCTCTCAGAAATAAATAAAATACATTAAAAAACCCAAAGATTGCTAATATTCTCCATCTCTTTCTAGATAGGCATCCACAGATGTTCTTCTTTATGCCACCTGTGAGGGCCATGCCTGGACTTCACCCTGTGCCACAGCTGTGGAAAGGACATAGTCTTATTGAATGTGTCTATTTCTAGTGAAGTATGGCTCAGCCACCTGTGGCTTTGTGATATTGGACAAGTCACTCCTCTAGTTCTTTGTCTGAGGTTCTCTAAGGTCGAAATTTGCCCCAAAACTGTGTCAATCTGAGAGCAAAATCACAACCCTTTTTATAATCTCTGTATGGTCCTGTCACTCTGTCAACGGAACCTTTTCAGTTACAGTGCCCTGTCTCTATCTACATTTGGGTACATAATAAAATCACGTCCTCACAAGGTCTGCTTCTGGAGAAAAGATTGAAAAAGGAGGATGTTTCCTCTGAACTTTGTGCCAGCCCAGTGCAGAAGCATGGGCCCCTGACCAGCCAGCCACCTGACTAGTAGAGGAGGAGGGGCAGAGAGGAGGCTCTGGGGAAACAGGAGGAAGCGTCACCCGGCCCTTCTTTAAAAGCCCAGGCTGAGGGGCGCCTGGGTGGCTTAGTCGGTTAAGCGTCCGACTTTCACTTAGGTCATGATCTCGCGGTTCGTGGGTTCGGGCCCCGCGTCAGGCTCTGTGCTGACTGCCAGCTCAGCGCCTGGAGCCTGTTTCAGTCTGTGACTCCCTCTCTCCCTGACCCTCCCCTGCTCACGCTGTCTCTCTCTCTCCTAGAAATAAATAAAAACATTAAAAAAAAAAGCCCAGGCTGGGGCATCTGGGTGGCTCAGTTGGATAAGCGTCTGACTTTCGCTCAGGTCATGATCTCACGGTTGATGGGTTCGAGCCCCAGGGCATCGGGCTTTGTGCTGACAGCTCAGACAGAGCCTGTTTCGGATTCTGTGTCTCCCTCTCTCTCTGCCCTTCCCCCACTCATGCTCTGTTTCTCTCCGTCTCAATAATAAAATAAAATTAAAAAATAAATAAATAAAAGCCCAACCCAAACTCTTCTGGTGTGTTGATGAGGAAAAGATCCTGCCAAAAAGAGGGGTGGAGTCACTGATGTGAGCTAAAACAAAGTTTTCCCCTGGAGCTATGGAGTCAGCTTACTTAGCTGACAATGCAAATCTTAGTGATTAATTTTTCCTTGAAAGCACTTATTCCTGTCACTTATAAAATTCCTCAGCTTCAAAACTTAAACTTCTCCTCATACATATTCCCTAGCAATTCTTCCAGTCTTCCCCTTAAGAATACCTAAGTCCATCTGGGCAATAGGCAGTGTGATCTCTCATGCCAGGTTTCCATGGAGAAAAAAAAAAAAAAAAAGAGGAAGATAAAACAGAAATATTTCTCTAGATGTCTTTAATTTTCTTTAAATTTAAATTTTTACAAATTTCCTCAAACGCAGCCTCCTGACATCGTCCAGCCCACCTGGATCTCTGCGGGTCTCTACGTATGTTGCTGTATTTTGGCAGCTACCCTCAATGGAACAGTCACTTGGATTTCACAGTAGAAATCAAGCCATCTCACCTATTCTCCTGATGTACCAATTCTGATAATGGTAACATCGTGGCACCGGGCATGGTGCAGTAATTTGATGAGTTTGTGAAGCATACGCATAATAAAGATGGAGGGAATGCCAATGCCATGCTGTTGAGAGAAAAGAGAAAGTCATTATACATCTCACAAACTGGTACACGCACAGGACATATTTTCTTCCTTCATTACAAGTTAACAGCCCTCAGATAAATTTACATAATCATTATGACTTTGCCAAAGCTGAGCAAAACGTAAGTCAGCTCTGACGCCTACCTGACATGCTGATAGATGTGTCCATCTGTGAGGATCAGACAGAGACATCTCCCTGCCAGTTACACAGAGTTCAGCCCTCGTTGTCAAGAGCAGAAGCTGGGGGGGGGGGGGGGGGGGGGGACGGGGAGGATGGCATGGAATACTGGTGTGTCGGGGCATGGCCATTTCTCATCTCCCCACTGGGCTCTTTACAATGAGCCTTTGAAAAAGAGCTTTTTGCAAGGTTGACTTGATTCTGAGGAAATACAAATTTGTCTGCCATGTTATTAGTCCTCTTCCACTGTACTAAGTGAAATAGTAAACCTATTTCATTGCTCTCATGTGGCCTTGTTCATTTGCTGCTAATTCTATGTGAGCTCTGAAAGGTAAGAGGGTAGAGGTGCGGGCTACATCCACACCTGACAATTCAGAGCGTAGGTGAGGCTACGTTGCTATACATCATGACCACAACCCCTATTTTCCACATAACCCTTATTTTCCTTAGCATTTGCTACAATAAAATCAACATCGCCAGAATAGGAGTCAACATAGGTTAGAGAATTTAGCAACTCCTGGTTGTTACAATATGTTCTAATAACTCTCCAGAAAGATTATAGGTGCTGGAATTTGTAGTAGCTGGAGCTTTTTTTAAACATAGATTATTGTCAAGTTGGTTTCCAACAATACCCAGTGCTCATCCCCACAAGTGCCCTCCTCCATGCCCATCACCCCCCTCCCCCCACCCCATCAGTCCTTAGTTTGTTCTCAGCATTCAAGAGTCTCTCATGGTTTGCCTCCCTCCCTCTCCCCCACTATTTCCCCCCTTCTTCTCCCCTTTGAAATGGTGGCAATTTCATTTCAATGTATTCGCCTCTTGAGCACAAAGACTTTGCATGTGGAAAAGCACCAGGGGTACCTTGGCAATTAGGTGATGCCTGCCACTAATTGCAACCATGACCGTGATGTTCTCACCTGAGTTCCCTCCCTCTAGCCATCAAACATATTAAACTAGTGGGCACCTGGGTGGTTCAGTTGGTTAAGTGTCCGGCTCTTGATTTTGGCTCAGGTCACGGTCTCATAGTTCGTAGGATGGAACCCTGCATTGGGCTCTGTGCTGACAGCTCGGATCTTGCTTGGGATTCTCTCGCCCTCTCTCTCTGCCCCTTCCCCTGCCCTTCTCAAAATACATAAATAAACTTTTAAAAAAGAATAAAAAGAATATTAAGCTGTGGAAAGTTTGAATCTCTGGGATCCCCATTTTTGGTTCCCAATGAACATGTCTTGACTTCCAAATGCATTGTAAGCCTCCTAGAGACATGAATCAAATCTGTATTAATTTATATGTCCAAGATTAACAAGTCTGGGCTTTGACACTGGCTCTGCCACTAATGAGTAGACTCTCTAAATCTCATTTTCCTCAACTATTAATTAAGAGAATGCACTATTATTTCATCTATTAGGTTTCTTCTAAATCAGATATTTGATAGGTTTATGATTATCACTTATTATGCAACATGGTAATAAAATGACAAATGGGCTCATGTGTTCCTGCTAAAGTCTCCTCCCCCCCCCCCCCTTACACACACACACCCTCAACACCCTCAGCAGCTGCTGGAGAGAAAGAGTTTTTAAAAGAAGGGGTCCCAACTGGAAATCCTCTGTCTGCCTAGTAAAGGCCACTTTTAATTGGCTGATCCCTGGACATGATACATATTTCAGGTCTTTTTCCCAGATAGGACAGCAGGATCCATTTTTATTTCTTACTCTGAAGTTTTACTGCTTGTTTATGATAGTTTCAGATTTATATATAAACATTACTGTTTTGTCCTTACCTATTTACCATGCAAAAAAGGACAAACAGTTATAGTCTAGAGTCAGGCAAAGATTAGGAAAACAAAATTTGTCATGATCAGAATATTTATCTTCCTTCTAATGTAGATATTCTATAATAGTTAAATAAATAAACGATTAAATGAATGGCTTCCCCCGTTTGAACCCCCAAAGCAGATTTGAGACATTCGTGGCCAAGAAGGGAGCTCAACTTGGCTGCCCCAATTGTCATTGCCTAATTTTCCCTTTTTTCCTCCAGACTTCCAGGCACAATCATTCATCATTCATCCTTCCATCACCAGATGCTATTGAGTGACTGATGGATGGGGGCTATTCCCTGGTGCAGGGACCACAGATAATTCAGCTCCTTAATCTTGTCACACCTCTGCAGTGGACTCTTGCCCTGTACTCTGGCATGCCTGGTGGTGCCCCTTAGGAGAACCGCAGTGTCCAGACACATGACAGACATAGAGCTGTGGTTTCAGAACACAGGTCTGTGGCAGACAGACAGAAAAGCAAGCTGGGTGTTCACATATATCCACTCCCTTTATGCATATGCTACCCTGAGTCGAAGAAGGAAGTGGTTTATGTGTTTCCTAAAACTGAAAAATCATTCCACTTTCATTTTGTCTTAGGACACTGTGTGTGTCCAGAGCTGTTAACATATTCCAAATACAGAGAGCAATTCACAAGATCTTGTGGAAATGCATTAGCAGCTTTTTCAGCAGGCTTATTATAATGTTAAACAGCACACTGACAATCCTGAAAATTGGCCCCTGTGTACAAAAACCTCAACATTCTCAAAGCTAGATCAGGGATAGAGAGAAAATTGCTTGTGTCTTAATCAGCTATAAACTAAAGAGAGGAGGTGTGCTTTGAGGGTTCCCCCTAAATTGAATAGCTAAGTGGTAGCTAATAAGGTAAAGTGACAACGAACCTGCTGCGTTCTGCCCCCAGGACTTTTTCCAACAATGAAAGTCACACCTGGGCAATTAGTTTAATTGTGTGAAAATGCAAAACAGATGAGGAGAAAGAACTGTATTCAGAATTTCCCACCTTTTTTTCTGCTAGCTTGTGACCATTGAGTACTTAGACTGATGGAACGCCCCTGACAAGTTCTGTCCCTGCAAGATCTGTCTGTCCCAGCTCAGACGTTCTTTGTGTCCTCTCCACTCTCCTCCAGCTCAAGCTCCCTGTGCATAAGCAGTGCAAATTCTTTCATTGTGTTGGGGCTTCCCCCAACGCAGACAAACTGTTAATAAAAATAAAGCAATTATCTGCCTTTTAACTGGGGTAGGAACCAAGGGACAGCTTTCAACTTTAATGTTTTTTTAAAAAAATTTTTCAGTAATTTACATAAGGGTACATATAGACATTAATGAGTTAAATTCATGAGTTAGATAATTTGCATCAATAACTGTAAATAAGGCAACCAGACACAAACTTTGATGTACTTAATTAGTAAAGGAAAAAGGTAATCACACAAAGTCAGTGTTGAATTTGTTCAAGTGGGAGTTTCCTGGTGTTTTTGTTTACAGTGAACATCAACCAGCCTTTTGAGTTGATACAGACACCTGTTTGGGGACATTAGCAGGTTATATGGAATATCAGTAACATGAGAAAAAAAAAGAAATGTGAGTTTTAGATATGTCTTCTCATTCCATATTCCCAAACGTTAGTTTTTATCAGAAAATGTGCTATGTTAACTTACAGCTTTAAAATAATCACAGCAAGGGGCGCCTGGGTGGCTTAGTCGGTTAAGCTTCCGACTTTCGCTTAGGTCATGATCTCGCGGTTTGTGGGTTCAAGCCCCGCGTCGGGCTCTGTGCTGACTGCCAGCTCAGAGCCTGGAGCCTGTTTCAGAGTCTGTATCTCCCTCTCTCTCTGATCCTCCCCTGTTCACGCTGTCTCTCTCTATCCTAGAAATAAAAAAATAATAATAATAATAAAATAAAATAAAATAATCACAGCAAGACTTTCCAACTTCTCATTCAGAAGAAATTCTCATGGAATAAGCCTTATCATTCATGTAGACTGGAGATCTCACTATGATATTCCATCAATTCCAGTGATTTGGGTTTATTCTTGTTTTATTCACATTTTAACATCTCTGAAATTATAATAGGTATTGCAGTCAAGGGTATCAACTCGAAGAATAAATAAAAATAAAATCATGTTATAGTTGCTTGTACAATGGCCTATTGGGAGTGCAGCAGCCTCAGAGGTGGGTGAGGTGGAGGCCAGAGGCAGGAGGGGAGCAGCCCTAGAGCATGGGTAAGCAGCAGCCTGGTGAGCACCGGGGTCGGCAGTGCAGCAGATGAGCAGCAGCAGGTGTCCTAGACCCGAGGAAGCACAGCCTGTAGAAGGGCGCCAGGAGCAAAGCCATTCAGAAATCTAAGCTAAGCCCTGAGGTGCACAGAAGCTGAAGAAGGTCCAAGTCAGAGAGATAGGTAATGAATGTAGTGTTTAAGGGCCTATCCTTTGAGGTTAGATACACCTGGCTTTGCACCCCAATCCTATATCCTGTTAAGTGACTTCCTTTGTGTTACACACATAATCTCTATGTGCCTTGGAGCATTGTCTCCAAAATAGAAAAATGCAGAACAACTCAGAGGGTTTGGTAAGGATAAAATGGGACAGATTATGACAGGATATTGCATGAAGCCGGGTAACTTCTGAGTGTTCAACAAATGGTAACTACTCTTTTTCACATCACGTAGCAATTTCCTGGCCTTGCTTTTAAGCTTGCTTACTGTTTCTGTATTTGTAGAACTTACTACAAATGAAGCTAGTTCAAATCCAGTAAGGAAAAGGCAGTTGGTGGTGCCTAACCGATGTGGGCAGCGTTAGGCACAGGATCAGAGGATTATTGGAGAGGTTCATCCTAGCGATGAATATCTGTCCAAGGAAATACCTAACAGAGGTTATAGAGTAGGCATCCCCATTCACAGATGATTTACTAGGACTATTGGGTGGTCTGATTACATGATGCATTCTGTTTCCATTTAACAATAATTCCTGTGCCACACTAATCTTCAATTATAGGATGTAATTATCCTTTTATCCAGGCCCTCTGCTTCTCTTCTACCCTCATTATTGTCTTTTCTGTGCCCTCTCATGGGTTTCTCTAATGGGCCTGTGGTTGATAATGAACTGCAATGGAAGTTAGCCATAAAGGCTAGGTAGCAAAGAGGGAAGGCTGTGGTCTAAGGTGAGTTCTTGAATTATTATTGATAATTCATGAAATTTTCCCCTCTGTTGGCATGGATAGTTAAGACTTGGTTCAACATCTAAGTACAAAGAGGCCATTTTTGTTGTTGTTTTCTTTTTACAAAATACAGTAGTTTGAAAATAACTTCATTGTGTGCTGTCAGTGAATGTAAATTACAACTATTCAGATTGACCATAAAACCAAAACAGATGTTAGAATAGCTTGTGGTTTCAATTCTTCTTTGAACTGTAGGTATTGCTGTAATCAACAGGAATTTCTGAATGTTTCTGGAGACACAAAGATAATATGTATAGACGGAAACATTTTTATTCTTGAGGACTTACTCCTAACTCAGACTTACTAAATATCACCTCTAAACACAATTTTTAGTCTGACTGTTTTGGTGGTGTTTTGTTTTTTTTTTCCAGTCTGGCTGTTTTAATGAGAAGTAAAATATGGCTGAAGACCACCAACCAACATTGACCTTGACACTTTCTGTAACTTATGCCCCAAACTAAATTATTTTTCCTGGTTTTATCAAATAAGATAGAAATACATTGGAAAGGAGTCTAAAGAATTACAGAAATGTGTTATGGACTTTGCCTAATGACTGCCAGGACAAATTCGCTTTCAAATATACCCACTGCTGGGGCGCCTGGGTGGCTCAGTCGGTTAAGCACCCAACTGGTTCAGGTCATGATCTCACAGTTCATGGGTTTCCAGCCCCACATCGGGCTCTGTGCTGACAGCTAGCTCAGAGCCTGGAGCTTGCTTCGGATTCTGTGTCTCCCTCTCTCTCTGACCCTCCCCTGCTCACACACACACACACACACACACACACTATCTCTCTCTCTCTCTCTTTCTCAGAAATAAATAAAATATTAAAAAATTAAAAAAATATATACCCACCATCTTAAAAGACTTTGCCATGTTGTCGATGTTGTATTAATCAGGTTCTATTTCTAGTCGGTTTGATAAAGACTGACTATCTATTCACCAAAGCTGTTTCCCTTCCTTCCTTCTAATACACAACTCAACTTCCTCGCCTCCTTTCCAGTTAGATGATGCCATATGGCTGAATTCCAGCAACTAGAATGTGACCAAATTTGATGGATGCCACTTCCTAGTCCGAACTCATAGAAATCTCCCATTGGTGCCACAATACATTACCTTCTGTCTGCTAGATGGGTGTAGACACCCAGGGAAACTTCATAAGTCACTCCTTGAAGGTGAGAGAACAACAAGATGGAAGAAACCTGGGTCCCTGAAATTCCAGTTGGAGGAAAGCCACCATGGACATTCACTTTGTACACAATGTGAGTGAGAAAAAAAAACTTAGGTTGTGTTAAGCAACTGATAATTTTCAGCAGCAGCTAGCAAATCCTTTTATTTATTTATGTATTTATTTTTTTACAGTTTATTGTCAAGCTGGTTTCCATATAACACCCAGTGCTCATCCCCACAAGTGCCTCCTCCATGTCCATCTCCTCTCTCCCCCCCACACCCATCAGTCCTCAGTTTGTTCTCAGCATTCAAGAATCTCTCATGGTTTGCCTCTCTCCCTCTCCACCATTTCCCCCCTTCTTCTCCCCCATGGTCCTCCGTTAAGTTCCTCCCAATCCTCCTATACATGCAAACATATGGTAGCTGTCCTTCTCTGCCTGACTTATTTTGCTCAGCATAAAACCCTCAAGTTCCATCCATGTTGCTACACATGGCCAGATTTCATTCTTTCTCATTGCCATGTAGTATTCCATCGTATAGATAAACCACATCTTCTTGATCCATTCATCAGTTGATGGACACTTAGGCTCTTTCCGTGTTTTGGCTATTGTGGAGAATGCTGCTATGAACATTGGGGTACATGTGCTCCTATGCCTCAGCATTCCTGTATCCCTTGGGTAAATTCCTAGCAGTGCTATTGCTGGGTCATAGGGGAGTTCTATTGTTAATATTTTGAGGAATCTCCACACTGTTTTCCAGGGGGGCTGTACCAGTTTACATTCCCACCAACAGTGTAGGAGGGTGCCCGTTTCTCCACATCCTCGCCAGCATCTAGAGTCCTCTGATTTGCTCATTTTAGCCACTCTGGCTGGCGTGAGGTGGTATCTCAGTGTGGTTTTGATTTGTATTTCCCTGATGAGGAGGGATGCTGAGCGTCGTTTCATGTGTCATCTGGATGTCTTCTTTGAGACGTGTCTGTTCATATCTTCTGTCTATTTCTTTACTGGGTTGTTTGTTTTTCAGGTGTAGAGTTCCATGAGTTCCTTATAGATTTTGGATACTAGCCCTTTATCTGATATGTCATTTGCAACTATTTTTTCCTATTCCGTCAGTTGCCTATTAGTTTTATTGATTGTTTCCTTTAGCAAACCCTTTTAAAATCTAGTAAGCAAGGAAATGAAGGAAATAAGAATGATTATCAGAATCTTTAAGGTTTAAATTTTACACACCCAGAGTTCTCCTTTCCTTTGAAGATAATACTATTAATAATAGTTATCTCTATAAAGGCAAGGCTGAGTTTTCGGTACTGATGGATTTTATGTTCTCTTCTTAGCTAGAATTAGTGCCCTAGGATTTAAGGGAGTCAAGAGATTGAACCTAGCATGTTCTCATTCAAAGATAAAAGTGTGGTTGGAAGAAGACAAGTTTCCAAGAAAAGCATCTGTATATGCAAACCAGACTTTACCTGCTGCCTCTTAAGAATCCTGCTATAGGTTAGGGGCGCCTGGGTGGCTTAGTCGGTTAAGCGCCCGACTTTCGCTTAGGTCATGATCTCGCGGTTCGTGGGTTCGAGCCCGCGTCAGGCTCTGTGCTGACTGCCAGCTCAGAGCCTGGAGCCTGTTTCAGTCTGTGACTCCCTCTCTCTCTGACCCTCCCCTGCTCACGCTGTCTCTCTCTCTCTCTCTCTCCTAGAAATAAAAAAAAAAAAAAAGAATCCTGCTATAGGTTAAACCGCCAGTTCTGATCATTTGGAATTACATTACCTGCTCCCCAGTCTACACACACCCACCCACACCCACACACACACACTCACACACACACACTTTTGCCTCCTGTCCATCAAAATTGTCTAATAAATAAGAATTAACTCTCTGGTGGGACCAACAGGTGCTAAACCAGAACATATTTTTGTTTTTGTTTTATCCAAAAGACCAAGTGGGTCCAATAAGATTGGAGAGTGGTTATGACAGAAAGAGTGTAAAGAGTAAGTGCAAATGAAAATGTATTCAGGTAGAAAGGTAAAGGCTTGAGGGGCAACTGAATGGCGCAGTAGTTAAGCGTCAGACTTCAGCTCAGGTCATGATCTCACAGTTTGTGGGTCTGAGCCCTGCATCGGGCTCTGTGCTGACTGCCAGCTCAGAGCCTGGAGACTGTTTCAGATTCTGTGTCTCCTTTATTCTCTGACCGTCCCCTGCTCACGCTGTCTCTCTCTCTCTCTCTCAGAAATAAATAAAACATTTTAAAAAGTTTAAAAAAAAAGGTAAAGGCTTGATTCCTGGGATTGTAACAAAGATGAGACTGTGTGTGTGTGTGTGTGTGTGTGAGAGAGAGGGAGAGAAAGAGTGTGAGAGAGATGTGTGAGTCCCATAATTTTTATGTCTAAAACAAAGCTTTCCATCCCAGTGGTTTCCCAGAACTAACAGTTAGAATAAAAGTGTAGTACATTTTTCTTTCAAATAAAGAGCCACTACTTTTTTTAATCAAGAGAAACTTAAGGTTTAATCCCAGATTTTTTAATTACCAGTTGTCTTATGCCTATTACAGATGCCCTCAGAGAGAGGGGAGGGGAAGAAGCAATATGGCACCTACAATTAATGAACATCACAAATTTCTTCCTTCTTTCCTTCCTTCCTTCCTCTTTTTCCTTCCTTCCTTCCTTCCTTTTCCTCCTTCTCCTTCATCTTCTTGTCTTCTTTTTCTTTCTCTAGCTAACTTCTTCCTCTTCTTCTTCCCTTTCTCAAGGCCCTTCCCAGTTAATGGACTATTCTCATTTACTATGACTCACAGAGTGCACCTTAGTGCAGCCAGCAAGGAGCCCGGGAATGGGACTTGGAGGAATTTGGTCCAAATCCTTGTTCTGCCACTATGTGGTGTAACTTATTTAACTCCTTTGACCTTTCAGAATTCAATTGCTTGTTTTATGGAGGAAATTAATATCTACTAACCCCACCTAAGAGAGCTAATGTGAAGATTTAGCAAGGTGATGAATGTAAGGGCTTTTACTTTTGCTCCTGTTAATTGCTAGGAAAATAAAGGTCAGCTGAAAACTGTGCAATTCTTGCAGATAGTTCTCACATAATTCTATCATGTGTGAACACAGCATAACCTTAGCTCTATCCAATCACTATGTTGTACATTTAGAACTAATGTGGGGCGCCTGGGTGGCTTAGTCGGTTAAGCGCCCGACTTTCGCTTAGGTCATGATCTCGCGGTTCGTGGGTTCGAGCCCCGCGCGGGCTCTGTGCTGACTGCCAGCTCAGAGACTGGAGCCTGTTTCAGTCTGTGACTCCCTCTCTCTTTGACCCTCCCCTGCTCATGCTGTCTCTCTCTCTCTCCCCTAGAAATAAATTAAAAAAAAAAAAAAAACTAATGTAACAGTGTGTGTCACCCAGACTTCAATAAACAAAAAAATAAAGAAGAATAATAGAAAAGAAGAAAAAAGAAAACAGTACAATTCTTCCCTGGTAGGATTATGAATAGGTGTGAACCTTTTAGAAAACAAAACTTCTTTTAAAAATTTAAAAAGTTTATTCCCTTGACCATTTCTGTAAATCATCCCAAGCAAATGTGAAAAATATTTAGGTACAAAAATGTGCATTTGGATGCTGTTTATAATAGAAAACATTTCCACATAAAAGTCAACAATAGGCTATAGAACGAATGACACAGCCACTTGACATCCATATGCAATGTGTTTCAAAGAAAATGTCATGATATGGGGAAATGCTAATGACATAAAGTTAAGTTAAAAAAATGCAGAATGCAGAGGGATATAACTATTTTAAAACATATTTATTAAAAAGGATTGGAGGAAAAGCAAATAAGTTGATGGTATTTGTGTTCAGATAGTAAGAAGTTTTTTTTAAGTTTATTTAGTGTGTGTGTGTGTGTGTGTGTGTGTGTGTGTGTGTGTGAGAGAGAGAGAGAGAGAGAGAGAGAGAATGAGTGGAAGTAGACAGAGGGAGAGAATGAATCCCAAGAAGGCTCCACATGTCAGCCCAGAGCTCGATGCACGAGTGTGATCTCACAAAACCTGAGATCATATCCTGAATTAAAACCAAGAGGCAGACACTTAACCCATTGAACCACCTAGGCTCCCCCAGACAGCAGTTTTTCAATTGTGTTTTGTTTTTTTAAAATATTTCCTTGATTTTAAATAATGAACATGAGTTGCTTTTATAATTAAAAAAATATATACAAGATTAATTAATACAAAAGTACAATGTTCCTAACAGTATTCCATAAATAATTTTCTCATATTTTTATGAAATAACACAAATCTTAATAATATGAAATATTAGATAAGTTACTTTCAAGAAGCTGAATAAGGTAGTATTGTTAGTTTTGTTATTTTATAATTTAATAGAATGAGAATTAGTGAGGTTCAGCTATGAATGTAGCTGTTAAAGAGTGAACTGAATCATAATGAATTCTGAACACCCAGCAGTACTGTCAATAAAATTGTATTTATCTCTAGGGACCAGAGCAGCCAAATAACCATGTTTGTATTCAGTTTAGTTTGGGAACCTTTGTGTCTCGTTGGGGTGGAAATGATTGCTCATAATGTACACGTTCTAAATGGTTTCAGAGTATGAACATAGCTTGGGTTCTTGTTGGGACCTTTTGATGTTTCTCTAGCCAAAGGTATAAATATTATGTTGGTAAAAGAAGAAGAAATAGTAGCAGAGGAAACTCCATTGTTTTTCCTAAGGTTAGAAATAGTTTTACCTTTATATTCCCAAGCTTTGCTGGTGGGTTGCATCTTAATCTTATATCCACTCTATTAAGTAAGTAATACTAATCATTAGGTTTACAAATGCAGAGGCCAAGCTTACAGAAATTGAAAACCTCGTGCAAGATTATACAACCAGTAATTTACAGAACAGTCATTTCTCCAGTTCTGTCTGGCCCTAGTGTTCATTTTCTTTGTATGGGGACTGTAAAACATAAGCTACTAGGCTTTGGACTCAGACTGCCTGGGTTCTTGGGTAAGTTACTTTATCTTTGTCCTTTAGTTTCCTCATCTATAAAATGGGTATAGTGAAAATAATAACTATTACTATTTATATTTGCAAGATTGCCTAAAAGCCTGAAATAATGTTTATAACACACTTGATGTATAGTGAACAGAGAATAACTATCCCTCATTATTACACTTCCCAACATTGTGAATCTGAAAGATACCAGCTTTAGAGAGACTGACATGAAAAAGTAGGGTGTGGCAAAGAATGCAGTGTTCATCAGACCCCAATTCTTCTTCCTCTTGGAGGCATTGTAGAACATATTCCCAACTTCCCTGCAGTAAGGTGAGGTCATCTGACTGAGTTCTAGCTAGCAGAACTTGGGTAGAAGTGACACACTTTTAGGCTTGATTCTGCCACTGAGGACTTGTTCCATCCTCTATACTGAATCTGCCCCCTTTCCTCCCCAGTGGCCACTGCCCCAGCCCAGGCCTCCGTCGCAGTAGTGGTAGCTGGGCCATCAGCACGTCTATCTCTTGGTATAATAATACATGACATGAAATGCAAGACTAACTGCTACTATAGGAATGACCTTATATCAATCTAATTCATATTTATGAAGCACATCATTCACAGCCTTCAGTATTTTGGTAATAATTATATACTATTTTAATTATTAGTGACAACAAGTTTTCTTCCCCACACTACAGTGGGTCAAGCCATCTTTGCCAAGAACAATCTGAGACTTCTTTGCTCTACATTTCTCTCACTTCCAAATACCTCAAAAAATTTAACAAAAACTTTGTCTGCATATCTCCAGTGATCCTCAACCTAATTTCAGATTAAAATCACCAGGGAGCTTTTCAGAAAACACACTGGTTCTCAGGCTCCAATTAATTTAGACTCTGCAAGTACTTTTAAATCTACCCAGATGGTCTGATGTGCAGCCAAAGTTAGGAACCCCTGCTTTAGTCCTTTATCCTGAAGCATCCTTCCCTTTCCTCTCCATTTTTTTGTATTGGAATCCTACTTATTCAACTTTCTATTCAAATATAACCTCCTCCATGAAGGGTTTTCCAAGCATCTTTCCTCCCTGGTCAATATGGATTCCCTGCACTGTGCTTCTAGGGCATTGATTTAGCATTTTACATGTTAATTTTCTGTTTCCCCAGAAAGATTGTGAATTCCCTCATGCAAGCTGTCTCCTATGTCTTTTTTTAATCCCTAAGGCTTAACAAATTCTATTTGTTGAATTAAATTTAACTGTTCAGGAAGTGGAACAGAAGTACTATTAACTTCCTCCTCAAAAACATTTAGAGTAACAGATTTTTTTTTTTAAATAGTTTATTGTCAAATTAGTTTCCACATAACACTCCGTGCTCATCTCCACAAGTGTCCTCCTCCATGCCCATCCCCCCACCCCCCCACATCCATCAGTCCTCAGTTTTTGTCAGCATTCAAGAGTCTCTCATGGTTTGCCTCTCTCCCTTTCCCCCACCATTTCCCCCCTTCTTCTCCCCCATGGTCCTCAGTTAAGTTCCTCCTAATCCTCCTATACGTGCACACATATGATATTTGTCCTTCTCTGCCTGACTTATTTCGCTCAGCATAACACCCTCAAGGCCCATCCATGTTGCTACACATGGCCAGATTTCATTGTTTCTCATTGCCATGGAGTATTCCATGGTATAGATAAACCACATCTTCTTGATCCATTCATCTGTTGATGGACACTTAGGCTCTTTCCACGTTTTGGCTATTGTGGAGAGTGCTGCTATGAACATTGGGGTACATGTGCTCCTATGCCTCAGCATTTCTGTATCCCTTGGGTAAATTCCTAGCAGTGCTATTGCTGGGTCCTAGGGGAGTTCTATTGTTAGTTTCCTGAGGAACCTCCACACTGCTTTCCAGAGGGGCTGTATCAGTTTACATTCCCACCAACAGTGGAGGAGGGTGCCCATTTCTCCACATCCTCACCAGCATCTAGAGTTCTCTGATTTGCTCATTTTAGCCACTCTGGCTGGCGTGAGGTGGTATCTCAGTGTGGTTTTGATTTGTATTTCCCTGATGAGGAGGGATGCTGAGCATCGTTTCATGTGTCTGTTGGCCATCTGGATGTCCTCTTTGGAGAAGTGTCTGTTCATATCTTCTGCCCTAGAGTAACAGATTCTTAATTAGTTAGTGGATCATAGCTGGTTTCAAAAATAAAGCATTCCATGATGTTAGTACACTCTCCTACTTCAGAACAAGCCTCAAAAGGCTTAGAGCCAAAAGAACAAAGAAAGGAGGCAAAAGGGTACCTCCTTTCTTCTCTTGGTGAGGGGCAAGTGGACATTTACCTATAGTCCCTTGTTAGACAAAGTGTGGTCAATGAACCAGCAGCATCAGCATCATTGTCTGGGAAGTTTGTCAGAAACGTAGAATCTCAGTCTTCACCCAAGACCTACTGATTCAAAATCTGATTTTAACTAACTCTTACACCATTCATGTGCACATTAAAGTTTGAGAAACACTGCCATCCACTTTCTCTTCCAACTTCTCTCACACTTTCTGTTTTACTCTGAAAAACTGCTTTCACTATCTGGAGATTTCCCCATGGAATCTATGAATCGCTATTCTGCAAAAATGTGCCATTCATCTACTTCAGTGTTTCTAAACTCTAACAACATTTCAAAGTCACCTGGGGTGCTTTTAAAGGTATTGATACCTGGGCCCACACCCCTAGAAATTCTGATTCAGCTGGGCAAGGAGATCTGAGCCTTGGTATTTTTAAAATCACTGATCTAGTCCTTGTTTCCTGTCTTCAAGAAGACATTCTCAAACTAGTAATTTTATCTCTTGCATGAATTCTAATACTCCTATTAATTTATAAAGGGGATATTCTTTAGTCTTCCTTGAAGTCTACCCCCAATGTCTGACAATCCCTTTGTCAAAAGATTAGAGGGCTTGTCCATAGAAGATTTTTATCCCCTTGAGCTCAGTAAGAAGCTCTTCTAAGATGATCACTCTATCAGCGACCAAAGGAGAGACTAGTTTGGGCATCAAACCAAATACAATCCAGTATGAATCTGGCAATTGCAACACTTTGATTTTTCCAAAATATACATTTTTTTACTAAATAAAATTGCTTTTACTGTGTCTTCCTCAGCCTCGTTTGGTATTTTCTTTTCTTTTCCTAAAACATGGGCCAAAGTTGGGGTTAGGAATAAAGTCTCTTAGCAAATGGCAAGAAGTTACACAGAATGGTCAATATTACATATTGGTGGCCAAAGGAAAGTGCTGGCTAAGAAGTCTGTCATTTTATCCTGATCTTCATCTTCATAATATTTCCTTTTTCTCTCCTTGGACTCCCTGAAGAAATAAACATGTAGGAGGCTACCTCTGTTTGGAATGCATAAATGGAGCATCTTCTGAAATGCTGACATGATAAGGGCTCTAAGCAAGACATTTCACACAACTCTTAGTGAATCTGAAGGAACTTGCAAGAATTCCTTAAGCCTCATGAAGATTAATGCTCTATTATGTTCTGTGAACCTGGGGCAAGAATTGGAGCTGAATTTGCAGACAGCTTTGGCAGATTTATGTCTACCCCTGAGATGAATAACATACATGGTATTTTAGAAGTAAATTCTATGTAAAGTCCATCACAAAGCACATGAAATCACTTCATAATAGGCTGCAACATAGTTAAATCTCCCTTAAGCACTGGGAGCCTCCTTTAATTATTTCTTAGAAACAGCCCACGATCCTGGAATTAAATTCTGAATCCCAGGCTGAACTTTGATTCTGTTCACTAACCAACTCAAGTTGGTTAAACTTTTGTATGTTTTTTGTGACTTTTTTTTTTTGCCTCACTTTTCTTTTTAATTGAGATACAATTGATACATCCCCCCACTTTCTTAGATGAGCCAAAGCCCACCAAGAGCCAAAGAATGAAAATGCCATTGGGAAGAAAATGTGCATTGTTTTTATTTTGTTTTGTATTATGAGCTTCATTCCAACTATATTGTCTCTAAACTTAAGAAATTTACATAACTGTAGAAGTTCATCTTATGAACATTTAATATAAAATCCAAAGAACATCCATCTCATCAAAACGAATAAACAATCAAAATTACTCACCCAACATATGTATTCTTGTCAGATTTTGTGGATTTATTGGAAACATGTAAATTTGAAGCCATACTTTTTACTACATGGATAGTCATTCTTAACTTGATGTCAGGAAAGAAAAATATTGTGATTTGCTATTAAATATCAAATCATAGTAGTTCAGCTCCAAGTTAGAATGACATACTCCATTAAAATCTATATTTTCTTCTAAAATTGCTAATGGAACTTTCCCCTGAGCATTCTAAAGTCTCTTATCAATTCAAAAATATTCTCCCTGATGTGGTCTTTTATACTCCAACCCAGCTCTCAGAATAGCCTTTCCCCAAGAAGAAAGACTTCTTTGAAGGTGTGGCATTCTGTCTCTTTGACCAGACTGGTTAGCTTGTTAACTGTTGACCAGTGAGCCTTTCTCTCATATCTGGCCTTAGCCCCACCCTGGGTCTGGTGGAGCACACTGACTTATTTATTTTGAGACAAAATTAAGCCAGATAGAGAATTGTCATGGGAGCGAGAATATGAATATGCTGACCCTGTGGAGGAAGTTGGTGGGAAATCAAGGTTTTGTCTGAGGCCAGGCACCATGGAGCGTGGATCTAGCAGAGCTAAAGCAAGCATACTGACCTCAAGGCCATTCTGAGTCATGGGGCTCTGCCTGGCCTTTGTTTTGCAAAACACCCAATGATGGCCTGCATTTACCTTGTGCAGTCTGTATGCATGCTTTCTAAAAATGAAAGCTTTATCCATTGCCCTTTAGGTGATTGGCAAGTTGTCATCACCCTTACTAAGATCATATTCCTCAGGGATTTGTGAATACTTTGGACAGTTACCAATACCTATTTGGTGGTGGCAGTGGCAATATTTAGGCTGCTACATTGGTTCAGCTAAATAAGCCTGAACACATGTGTTGCTTCTGTAACTTGGGACAGTAGTTTCTGTTTGTAGTTTACAATGATATGGATGTCCCTTACCTCGTGACCCCCTCCAACTGCTCCCCCGCTGCTCTTTCCAACCGCCAGTGACAGTTTGGTGCCTCAGCATTTGCCACCATGAGGCCTCCACACTTGTATTTGGTATTCCAAGCCACATGTCTCAATTTATTTTTAGGGTATAATGAGTCTGACCACCAAATTCCAGTCTAGCATTTACCTCTTGCTCTGACAGGTGAAAGTGTTAGCTAATTAGATAAGTGTTAGATAATTAATTACTCCTATGAATTAATTAGACTAATTAACAAGTCTGTTTCCAGTGCAAATTCTGTCAGCCAATGGTCTCGATCACTAAGGGTGCCAGGTAATGCCGGCAAAGATGTATAGGCCCCATGTAACACGTCCTCAGGACATTAAGGCAAGTGGTCATCATATGGGTGAAATACAGAATAATTTTGTGGAATTTATGAAAGCAGAGTACTGATTAATATCTCCTGGATAGTCTTCAATTATTTTTCCTAGTTTTCAATTTTTTTAAGACTCGATCCTACTTTTCTGGTAGGTTGTTCCTGGATTATTTTTTTAACTGTATTACAAAAGGCCAATCACCTAAATGGCAATGTATAAAGCTTTCATTTTCAGGAAGCATGTATACAGACTGCACAAGGTAAATGCAGGCCATCATTGGGTGTTTTGCAAACAAAGGCTGTGTGCTAGACAGAGCCCCATGACTCAGGATGCCCTTGAGGTCAGTATGCTTGCTTTAGCTCTGCTAGATCTACATTCCACGGTGTCTAGCCTCAGACGAAACCCTGATTTCCCGCCAACTTACTCCACAGGGTCAGCATATTCATATTCTCGCTCCCATGACAATTCTCTATCTGGCTTAATTTTGCCAGTACAACTTTGATGTGGAGAGAAGAAATCAGAGTCCTGGTGTGCAACTGTATGACATTAAGGTCTCTCTCCATTTAATATGCTTTCTGCTTAATCTGTGAGATGGTGTAGACATAGAACCACACCCACACCCAGAAAACAGTGTTCTTATCACTCTGTGGAGGGGCCTGGCTAGGAATTGGGGCTACCAGAACCTTGCTGTAAGGACTAGACATCCACCTTATGCCAGACCCTGGGCTAAATTCTGAGAACACAAAGGAAATGAGATGGACAGCATCTGCCCTAAAGGCATTTAGACTCTGGTGGGAAAGAGAGATGAACAGGGTTATCCTAGTTATAATATACTTTAAAAGTTTACACTTAAAGGATTGGCATCTTAACTCTTTTAATAGAGAGTGCAGTCAAATTGGGCTCATCACAAGACATTGCAGGGCTTATAAAAATATTTTTTACTTCATCACACACTGTAAGTTTAATAGAATACAAGTTTAAAAGTAGCTTATATTCTTCCCTTCTTTCAGTGCAGTTGGTAAGTTTTTATATATGTGTATTTAAAGTCTAATTTTAGACCAAAGGTGGGTCCACCTTTGGACTCGCCAGGCCTGCCTCCTTCAGAGCATGCCTTGGTGCTCTTTTCCTCTTTTTCCAGACCAACCCATTCTGCCCTGGGCCCAGAGCCTCTGCTCTGAGAGTGTCTCTCCATCAGACCTCTACCAAAGGTCTTCTCAATTCACCTAAGGCTGCACTCTCTTGCCCAGGAAACAATCACACACAATCAAACATACAACCCTAGAACCGTCCTCACAGCCTGTGGGAGATGGAGGTGGCAATGCACAGCAAAGTCCTCATATACACCCTTTTCTTTCATCTCTCTTTCTGCAGCAGGTCCCTCGTGGTGAGAAAGGGGCAACTAAGAGTCCCTACTTCCTGCCATCCCAGCTCCCCCCCACTCCACTATTTGGCCCATGGTACCACCAATAGCTTGCAAGAGCTCAAAAATGTTTTAAGTTATTCATTTGGATGCTAAGCAGTTTATTTTTTCATTTATTCATTGAACAAATATTGACTAAGCACACACGATGCTCTAAAAACTGCCAGAGACACGAGTATGACTAAGACAGTTCCTGCTTCTCTGATTTCTTCCACAAAAATATTGACATTGCATAAATAGAAAAGACACAAGTTATCACACTTCTCCTACTAAGCTTATCTATGTCAAAACACGTTACTAAATGTATCTTCATCATTCCATTTTTATTCTTTCTATTTTTTAAAAATATTATTTATTTTGAGAGAGTGGGTGCAAGCTGGGGAGCAGAGAGAAAAGGACAGAGAATCCCAAGCAGGCTATGTGCTGTCAGTGTAGAACCCAACGTGGGGCTCTATCTCATGAACCTTGAGATCATGATCTGAGCCAAAACCAAGAGTCAGATGCTTAACCAACTGAGCCACCCAGGTGCCCCTATTTTTTAAATTCTAGTAAAACACACTATTATATTCTTAAATTTTTTTTAACATTTATTCATTTTTTAAGAGACAGAGAGAGACAGAGGGTGTGAGTGGAGAAGGGGTGGGGGGGTTGGGCACAGGATCTGAGGTAGGCTCCAGGCTCTAAGCTGTCAGCACAGAGCCCAATGTGGGCTCGAACTCACAGACTCTTGAGACTGTAACCTGAGTTGAAGCTGAACGCTTAACTGAGCCACCTAGGTGCCCCTATACAGTGTTATGTTCTATTCTTCATATGTAATAACTAAACTGTATTGAGTCTTTAGATATTAAGTGTTTACCTTCTAATACATAGACTATAGCTGCCTCAAATCCTTTTTGGAAGAAGGGAGGTATAGAAAAATAAACAATTGTTTCCTTTATGGTATAGACATGTTAGAGCTTAACATTTGTATACATGTGCAGGGAAAATGCATCTTATTTTCTATTAGCCATCCAATCTCTCTCTATGCCCATCATCGTGAAAGTTGTGGCAGATGGTGGTGACTTTAAACTTGCCAATCAGGAGCATCTTCATGTCTTTGTTTTAGACCATCTCATTTAGATGGCTTGTTTCTTTCAAGTACATGTTTTCCTCCCTCTTCCCACTGCTCCGATCTAAGATGACACACAGTGAATGAGGTGGGTGGGGAGGGGTTTACTTGGTTTCTTGACAGTAAGGAAGAGGAGGGCTCTGGGATCCATGTGCTCAGGTCGTTGTCCTGGGAGATGGCAGATCAGGCACTGCCCATTGAATTCTTGGGAGGAACCTGTAGCTACTTGGGTTGGTCCACAGGTCTCTGAATGGGGTGACTGAAATGCAGCTAGCCCCACCTAGCACTAATGGGACATTATGCTGGCACCCGCCCCTGAAGTCTAAGTGTTATTTGTCTATTTGTCTCCAGGCTTAAAATCCCCTTTCCTTGTGGCCTCTTTGGTCAGTCCCTGTACCCCTGACAGCTCACTGGTGGCTGAGAACTTCTGCTTCCCTTTGCGATAGCGGTCAGGAACATTGAGGCCCCCGTATGCCAGACGTAGGCTTTGATGTTGTCTTGGGCTGTCTCTCCCAGTTCCTCCCTGTCCACCTATGCCATGCTGGATGGAGATTCTCCTGCAGACTTGCAACCTCTTCTGGGCTACATCAAACGATGCAAGCTTCTGGCTCCAGTGTCCCCAGGCTGATCTATGCCTAGTTGGATAGTTACATGGCACTTTCTCCCTGGCATTCATCCCTAGAGGTTGATGGTGACCAGGGACCCTATCTGAACTTCTTGAACTACTTCTCTGCTCCCACCACCGCAATTCTCATTACAAGGAGGTGAAGTCCTTTTAGGACCTTTTCTATCTGACCAATGTGAGATACCCTTATATCATATACTGAATTCTCCCAGGCTTCTGGTAATCCCCATATTCAAGTTCATTGGACCTAGCTCCTATTATGTTAATGAAAACAAACATTTTTAAAATTTTATTGTTCCTCACTGCCTCCCTAGGGACTCAAACTTCCTGTTAAAAAAGTTTTAATTCCCTCATTTAATTCCCATTGCCCAGCAGATAGATAGGAATATGGGCTATGAAAACGGTCATGTATGCAGAAAGGAAAGAAGAGCTTGGCAATAGGTTTCAAAAATACTATTTCCATAAGTGTTATAAGCAATAAGAATTGAATCCCTAGCACAAAGGCCAGGAGTACCAGTGTTTGTATTGTTCCTTGGAACACTTATCCCTCCACAGGCTGTTATGATGCTGTACTCAAACTATATAACACTCTTCTAGGCAGGGCCATGTAGAGGGGCAGTGGATGAAACTTGTGTCATGAGTGGAGTCACTCGAATGGGGACTCTAGTGGAGGTTCATCCATGTTGAGACCACGGAGAGGGTGACTGCATGCCCCAACCCTTGCAGAGGACTGCAGCGTCCTGTTTTCAGTCCCATAGGATGCTAGAATTACTCTTATTATTTTAAAAGTTCAATAATTTTGTATGAGATTAAAAATACAGAAATAAAAAGACATTTCCCAGAGCCCACAGAGCACTGATCTCTGGAATCTTTATCAAGGTGAGATTTGCTTTAAGAAAATAATTGCTCTTTGAAACACAATAGAAAGCTTAGAAATAAGCCCACAATTCTATGGTCAGTTAACCTTCGACAAAGGAGACAAGAATGTGTGATGAAAAGATGACGGTCTCTTCAACAAACGGTGTTGGGGAAACCGGACAGCTACATGCAAAAGAATGAAACTGGACTACTTTTCTAAACCAGACACAAAAATAAACTCAAAATGGATTAAGGACCTAAACATGAGACCTAAAACCCTAAAAATCCTAGACAAGAGCAAAGATAGTAAATTGTCTGACAGAGACATCTTTCTAGATATGTCTCCTAAGGCAAGAGAAACAAAAGCAAAAATAAACTATTGGGACTGCACCAAAATAAAAAGCTTCGGAAAAGCAGAGGAAACAACCAACAAAACTAAAAGACAACATACTGAATGGGAGAAGATATTTGCAAATGATATATCTGATAAAGGGTTAGTATCCAAAATATATAAAGAACTGATATAACTTAACACCAAAAGAGTCCAAATAACCCAATTTAAAAATGAGCAGAAGACCTAAACAGACATTTTTTTCAAAGAAAACATATAGATGGCCAACAGACACAGGAGATGATGCTCAATGTCATTCATCAGCATGGAAATGCAGATCAAAACTAAAATGAGATATCACTTCACACCTGT